CTGTTTAAATCTTGTTAATTCATTCAACCGATAAGTATCGTTTTATGTTCTATTGATGACTTCAAGATAAAATGAGAGAAAAAAAAAGAAAAGAAAAAAAAAAGTACATACATTTAAACAGATTGCTGTAAGGTATATCGAGGTGGCCTTGACCTTTATTCTTGAAATTTTCGTATATAAATTATCTTTAATTCGAGTTAAATGATATCGCACCTTTCGTTCAGGAAAATCTTTAAAAATATAGACAAATAAATAAGTTATAATGGTTGAATCTTCCCATATTATTGCTCAATATTTAAATAGTGTTTTTTTTTCGTATAAATTAGAGACTTAATTGGTTTAATTTATGCTGGCATCTCTCTTTGCCACAGTTTTTATATAAATTTCAACCTTATTTTTATAAAATTTATATTACTACATATAATATACAAGTCGACCCCCTATAACACTGTTGATTATTCCGTTTTATATGAATTCCGTGTTGTACGAGTCACTTAGATTTTACAAATATGTGCTCCGGGCTGCGAACTGCTCACGTATTTGTAAAATCTAAGTGACTCGTACGACATGGAATTCATATAAAACGGAATTATAAACAGTGTTATAGGGGGGGTCGACTTGTAAGTGGTAGTAGCAACTCTAGAAAATATAGAAAATGGCTGAAAATTTCCATTTATTAATACTATTCCCCTCCTACTTTCTCTACGAATAGTTTAACTTAAATAAGCATATAAACCCATTTCTTTTTTTTATTTTTGGTAACAACACCGATCGTGATTCGTGTGAACCAAATGTATAAGTGAGGTTAGTGTCCTTCGTAGTGTAGAAAATTGTGTGTTTTAACTATTAGGTCATAGAAAACAACTAAATATCCGGAACACTTTAGGTTAATGTCATCCAACTGTTATTTATTCCAAGCAATTGACACGATACTTTCCATAAATATACATGAATACTCGTACCATAAACTTCACGAAAGGATATTTAAAGGTTCATTTTCACCAATCGATTCTTCGTGCAGCATTTCACGCATCGCTAAACGGAGAGAGAGAGAGAGAGAGGGGGATGTTCACCTTTATCAAAACTCTTGTCAATACCCGATCATCCGTGAATTTTTAATACGTTAATAACACAACCTAAAAATGTGCGAATGTAATTTATAATTTTTCCTCGTATTACGTATATTTTTAAAACGATTTTTAATATTCTAAGGTGTTCCTTGCAGTCAAAAATACGGAAGTTGTCGGCCACAAATTTATATTTTTAACGTTAATTCTAACTTGTTTATTTTGTAATAAGTAAAGTGTTATTTAAAACTTTAGAAACAAAACAAATATAGGTCGATAATGCCGCTTTCGTGAATAAATATAGATGTTAAAAATTCAACTAGTATTTCCCCTTCTATTAATGGAATTAAAAAAAAAAAGAAGGGAGGGAAAAATCAAAAACCCCTTTGAGAAATCCCAAAAAAAACGTGATAAATTCCTATTTGGAGAACGTGAAAGCCTCAGGATTTCCTTGTCTTTTATTCATTGTTTCATTCCTTTCTGTATATTTTTAGTATTTTACAATTATTAAATAGCACCAACTGTACTTTTTTTTTATTTCACATAAGAAAATTATATATATATATATATTCTCTTTTGAATATTAAAATAGAATTATTAATAGTAGTAGTGTCTGTATGAGTTATTTTTAGGAATAAAAACGTGATAAATAAGATTTAACCTAATAAAAGTTGGAATTTTCAGGACTGATAATTTGAAACAATTAAATTGATTAAAGTATATTAACCTACTTGTTCTTAATCTATCCTTAGAAGTACTTTTTAAAAGCTTTAATGTGTGTCTGTTTCTTTGTTAAATCTTTACTTACCGGATTTAAAAAGAAGTAATTGTCTACAGGACTTTATTTATTTATGTGCAGTGGAGGGAGGGACATTATAAAAATTTTAAAACAAATTCTCATAAATTCTATAAAGTAATTAAATTTGCTTTAAAAAAAAATATATTAAAGGGACAAGAACATTAGCTCAGAATGTCCAACAACAACAACAGCAACAGCAACAACAGCAGCAACAACAGGTAATGTAGTATTATTAAGTATTACTATTATTAATATATTAAACAAGTATGAGCTGCTTACATTAATTATCATTTAAAATCCTGAACAGAGACTCTACTTAAATCAGTATCCACTTTATGATTATTATAATCAAGGATCTACACAATCCACTCAAGACAGTCCCCATTTAGTTTATCATTTCATTAAACCACAGCAAGATTCCTTAACAACTACTATTAGACAAAATAACCAGAAACAAGATAACAATCAGCAAAAACAGAGTCTAACCGAAGAAAACCTACGTTATCTTTTACTTCGTCAATATGCTCAACCGCCGGGAGTGAATCCAGTTTTGGCACTGCAAGCACCGCAGGGATCAAATGATTTTCAACCACAAGTCATCTATCGACCATTACAAATAGGTGTCCAACAGAGTGGACAGGCTCAAAATTACAATCAACAACCAATTACATTACCTTCGCCACCTCCGGCATATAAAACGGAGAAAACAAGAAACGTCCAGCCGACTCGTCCCATAGCCCACGTCACTTATTTAAACTCTGACGATGCTCNCAAATGATGAAGCTAATTCATGTATTATTAATATTTAATGTGTGAAGAAAGAACTATTGTGTTTTTTTTTTTTATTTCAACTGCTACAATTCAATAATACTGGATTCCTTTAAATTTTATATTTAAAAACATTTTTCTGAGAAGGGGTGGCCTTCACCTGAGGTGTCCAAGGAACTGAAAAGGTTAAGAACTTCCACTCCAAGTGATATCCTCGATAAAATCTTATATATGATCTATAGACATTTCACTATATTTTCCCAATATACATTTTAAATATAAAGATAAATAATCAAAACATTTTCTAGTTATAAACATATTTAAAATATTTTAACAATAATAAAACTGTAGAAACTTACCAATTAATAAAGTTTTAGCAACAATAGCGGCAAGTCGGCCTAGCAAATGGCCGCGACCGTCGATAATAATCGGCTAAACAACAGAAATAACAAATTATAAGGAATTATACACAAAAGAATAACTCGTCATATTCATTCAAAACAGCATTTTAGGCTTAGCTACAGAGTCCACGTTGTCGTTAGGCTTAAGTAAATAAATCTACTTCAATTTTTACTAATCTCGTACAATTAACGTTTAAACGGTTTGACGCGAAGATAGCTTACGTATTAAATTTTATTTTAATATATATAATTCGTTAATTATCTACAATAATAACGTATTTTACCTTACGAGTAAAGCCAGTCATAACCCTAACGTGTAAGAAAGACAAGACGAAAACGGGGGTTCCAACAAGATAACGCACGGAACTTCCCTCTGGTGGAACCTTTCTGAAAGAAATTAAATTTAATTATACCATAAACTTCTTTAAATTATATTTCCTTTTTAGTAGTATAAATGTTATTTTTATAATAATAATAATAATAATTTGTAACATTTGAATTTTATTCGTTATTAATTTGTTTTACATTATTAAATTTTATTCCTCTCCGCCCAGTAAACAATAGGGCGGCCTTTTTAACCGTACCCACCGCTCTAAGAACCCGTAATTGAAACAAAGCGGGCGAAAACCCCGCTTTGTTTCAATTACCAAGAATATTTTGTGGACGCTCTGTTCCGGATATGTCCACCTCTCCGATTATACCCCGACCCATAATGGGTTCATGAATCCGGGAATGAATCCGCTATGGCCGGATTTAATCCCGGATCCATAGAGTGGTAGACCGATGCCTTAACGCCTCGACTATCCAGCCAATGTTAATTTTATATTTTTATTTATGTTCACATTTTTATTAATTACTGTCGAAGTGGAGATAAATCCTGGAAGATAAAACCCAGCCAACAAAAGTCAAAATAAGTAATATATTAAAATGTTTTTCAATGGAACGAAAGTTATGTTAATAACATCTTTTTTGACAAATGAAGGGCCTTATAATCAAGCCCACTATGAATTCAAGCAGGCCCACAATTGGGGTGGATGAGACAAACACCCGAAAATTCCTAGAATTTTTCGACTTGTTCGGATTCGTTCTCGGTTATCCAAGAGCGGCAGGCTAACACCTTAACCTCTCGGCTGTTTCGCCTTTTTATTATGATAATCAAAGAAAAGAAATTAATATTTTAATGTATTTAAAAAAATTTTAAAAAAATACGCTTTTATTGGTCACGTTTGTCGTGATTAGGGGTGGATTTTTTTAAATTCTTTCTGGCCTGTTTGGGAACTAAGAGGGCCGCTTTTAAGCAAGTCTGCCCAAGCCAAGATTCGGCCAAGGGTAATGAGGATTTGGTAGTGAGCAAGGGCCCNATTTGTAAAATCTAAGTGACTCGTACGACATGGAATTCATATAAAACGGAATTATCAACAGTGTTATGGGGGGGGTCGACTTGTAAGTGGTAGTAGCAACTCTAGAAAATATAGAAAATGGCTGAAAATTTCCATTTATTAATAATATTCCCCTCCTACTTTCTCTACGAATAGTTTAACTTAAATAAGCATATAAACCCATTTCTTTTTTTTATTTTTGGTAACAACACCGATCGTGATTCGTGTGAACCAAATGTATAAGTGAGGTTAGTGTCCTTCGTAGTGTAGAAAATTGTGTGTTTTAACTATTAGGTCATAGAAAACAACTAAATATCCGGAACACTTTAGGTTAATGTCATCCAACTGTTATTTATTCCAAGCAATTGACACGATACTTTCCATAAATATACATCGATACTCGTACCATAAACTTCACGAAAGGATATTTAAAGGTTCATTTTCACCAATCGATTCTTCGTGCAGCATTTCACGCATCGCTAAACGGAGAGAGAGAGAGAGAGAGGGGGATGTTCACCTTTATCAAAACTCTTGTCAATACCCGATCATCCGTGAATTTTTAATACGTTAATAACACAACCTAAAAATGTGCGAATGTAATTTATAATTTTTCCTCGTATTACGTATATTTTTAAAACGATTTTTAATATTCTAAGGTGTTCCTTGCAGTCAAAAATACGGAAGTTGTCGGCCACAAATTTATATTTTTAACGTTAATTCTAACTTGTTTATTTTGTAATAAGTAAAGTGTTATTTAAAACTTTAGAAACAAAACAAATATAGGTCGATAATGCCGCTTTCGTGAATAAATATAGATGTTAAAAATTCAACTAGTATTTCCCCTTCTATTAATGGAATTAAAAAAAAAAAGAAGGGAGGGAAAAATCAAAAACCCCTTTGAGAAATCCCAAAAAAAACGTGATAAATTCCTATTTGGAGAACGTGAAAGCCTCAGGATTTCCTTGTCTTTTATTCATTGTTTCATTCCTTTCTGTATATTTTTAGTATTTTACAATTATTAAATAGCACCAACTGTACTTTTTTTTTATTTCACATAAGAAAATTATATATATATATATATTCTCTTTTGAATATTAAAATAGAATTATTAATAGTAGTAGTGTCTGTATGAGTTATTTTTAGGAATAAAAACGTGATAAATAAGATTTAACCTAATAAAAGTTGGAATTTTCAGGACTGATAATTTGAAACAATTAAATTGATTAAAGTATATTAACCTACTTGTTCTTAATCTATCCTTAGAAGTACTTTTTAAAAGCTTTAATGTGTGTCTGTTTCTTTGTTAAATCTTTACTTACCGGATTTAAAAAGAAGTAATTGTCTACAGGACTTTATTTATTTATGTGCAGTGGAGGGAGGGACATTATAAAAATTTTAAAACAAATTCTCATAAATTCTATAAAGTAATTAAATTTGCTTTAAAAAAAAATATATTAAAGGGACAAGAACATTAGCTCAGAATGTCCAACAACAACAACAGCAACAGCAACAACAGCAGCAACAACAGGTAATGTAGTATTATTAAGTATTACTATTATTAATATATTAAACAAGTATGAGCTGCTTACATTAATTATCATTTAAAATCCTGAACAGAGACTCTACTTAAATCAGTATCCACTTTATGATTATTATAATCAAGGATCTACACAATCCACTCAAGACAGTCCCCATTTAGTTTATCATTTCATTAAACCACAGCAAGATTCCTTAACAACTACTATTAGACAAAATAACCAGAAACAAGATAACAATCAGCAAAAACAGAGTCTAACCGAAGAAAACCTACGTTATCTTTTACTTCGTCAATATGCTCAACCGCCGGGAGTGAATCCAGTTTTGGCACTGCAAGCACCGCAGGGATCAAATGATTTTCAACCACAAGTCATCTATCGACCATTACAAATAGGTGTCCAACAGAGTGGACAGGCTCAAAATTACAATCAACAACCAATTACATTACCTTCGCCACCTCCGGCATATAAAACGGAGAAAACAAGAAACGTCCAGCCGACTCGTCCCATAGCCCACGTCACTTATTTAAACTCTGACGATGCTCAGTCTGCCGATCCGCCCGTACGTAGACGACCGGTTACCCGAATTGTCATAAAACGTCCTCAGACACCCACTCCAAAACCATATAATTCAGATTCCGGTAACTTAAAACAATCAGATTACACTAATATTGCATTCACTCAACCATACCAAGGATATCAAAAAGCACCCGAAAATCCCAAAGCTTCTCCGTCGGGAGTTAATTATCCAACACAATACTTCCCACCTCCACCGTCTAATAGAGGATCCAGTAAATATCTAACGTCGAGATCCCGGTTGGAAAGTCCACCACCTTCCTATCAACAGCAAAGTCAAAGTTACCCCGCTCAGTCACCACAAAATTACAACAAAGAATCTTCTAGTAACGAAAATGAAAGAGACGCAGAAGAGGAGGAACAAAACGACGGATATAACGATGTCAGCGGAATTCCGGGAGATCCGGGAAAAGATTATCCCGTAATGGCAAGCATACCGGTTACAACATTCTCTTGTGCTAATAAATTACCCGGATACTATGCAGATAAGGAACAAAGATGTCAGGTTAGTTTTCATTGAAATAAAATATTAAATATATACAATTTATTGTAAAAAAAAATAATAATAATAACCAATATCTTTTCTGTATTTTTTTAAATTAAATTTGAATTTCTTTAGGTGTATTATTTCTGTGATACTCAAGGTCATATGAGAAGTTTCCTGTGTCCAAATGGAACTGTTTTCAATCAACTGTCTTTTGTTTGTGAATGGTGGTATAATGTAGACTGTGGTAGCTCAGAAAAATATTTCTCAAGAAATAGTGAGTTATATAAAGTACCAAAGAAAAATGCCACCCAAGAAAAACCAATTTACTTTTTCATTCCTAAAACTCAGCTAGATGCTGCAAATCTTAAAAATTACCAAGCACAGTTAGCTTCTGGTGGTTATTCTCAATCGCCTAATTCGTATCAAGTTCCCGGTAGAAATTATCAACCACAACCGTCATCTTATAAACCGCAACAACCGTCCAACACTTACCAGTCGCCCGCAGATTACAAGACAGCGGTCGCACCTGCGCCTCCGACTTACAGGTCCGCAGTAACCGCACCGGTTCAGAATCTGAGAGATCCAGAAAGGCAAAATATAAGGACCTACGGATTGCCCCGAGAAATAAACCAAAATTACAACAGATATAATGGATAATATTTACAAAAAAAATTATTTTAAGTAAGTAATTATTCATAATTAAAGATATACAGAATGACTCAAAAGTTGGTTAATTGCATTATTTAAAGAACAATCCCCCAAATTCATGATTATACTTCCGATGAAGCGATCGAATCACAAACCAGCTTCGATCATTCTTAAAATATACCTCATTTAACCAAATTTTGGGCCATTCTGTGTTTATTTATACAGATATGTGTTAATACTAACAAAATCTTTTCTAGACAGGTACCCAAATCACATCACCACAACTATACCATTTTGCAAAATGAGATAATCATGCAAGTAATTTGGGCCAAATTAACCATCGTCACTTCTCTCATTTATATAAAAGGTATAGTACGTTCCAACGAGGCATCAAAAATTGCAAATAATTACCATTTTTAAATATACAACTAATTACTTTTTTGAGTTTTTATAAGCACGCGGCATAAAGTGCATTTGTTTACGGTATATAAATCGTCAGATATGTATCAAAAAACAGACTATCGCATAAGTAGAGTAGTCTGTAATTTGTAAATAAATATTTTTCTTATTTAATGGTTTTAGTAGAAAAATTTCTCTAAATTTCTTTCAATAAATAAGGCATTATATTGATATTAAATCTGATGATATCACTTAAGATTCAGAGCATAAAATTTTATAGGTCATCTTATATGCTGAAAATAATTTTCAAATTGATAAATTTTATAGATTTTCATCAAAGAAACAATTTATATAAATGGATATTTTTACTAAATAACACTTTATTACTTGATAAAATTTAAATTTATTATGAATGTAAGAATTAGAAATGCTTGTTATTTAATTCAATCAAAGTTTTACACCATTGACACACTTTTAAAAACATGTATACATATAAAATTTATTTCTATTTACAATTTTATCGCTTATAAAATCTTAAAAATTTATAAAAAGTTTTAAAATATAAAATATTAAAATCCCCAAGTTAATCTCATCATATGATCCGTTTTTCTTTGTGTGGGTTTAATAAATCCTAACATCCGTAATTCAGTTACACAATTCATAAATCTTGCACTATATACCATTAAGGAATAAAGCACTATAAAATTATTTTAAATGATTAGAATATAATTAATTAATGTTTATTTTAATTTAATACTAAATTTGTGAATTGATGGAAAGTTAATTATGATATTATATATAAAGTCGGCTCCATGCATTCTGTCTCTGCTGATTGTTGAATAATTGTCTATTTGCTACTCTTTGATTTGGCATGATATACAGACGAGGAGTCGGATACGGCAAATACCAAATATTAGTCGCGAGTAAATCATCCACACTACTCGGTATTGGCTGAATGTTTGCTTGGCGTTCGGTAAATACCAAACGTATGGAGCCAGATCAAAGGATTATCGAACATTATTAAATTAGCATATAATAATACACGATACGTGGATCCATATCAAATGAAAACATGATTCGGTCTACGAATCCATTCTAAACAGTAGAATATGCCTTAAATTAAAATTGAATTTAACAGAATGAAGAAACACAAAGAAGTGTTAAGTTTGATTCTCATTCAGAGCAAATTTTATCCCGTTTGCTCTCAAATAATTTCTCTTACATCCATCTCGGACTACAAAATCCAAAAATATATTGATACAATAAAATTAATTCTTTGTATTATTGTTTATAAAGAGAATCTATCCATTAACGAAGTCAACATAGCATAAATAATGCTGGCTAATTTTCTTAACAACAATAACTGGTAAATTATTCAAATAATTTGATTAAGAAAGGAAAACTGCACTAAAAACACACAAAACAATTTAACATTGTAATGGCAGATTCTGATTACAGTGCAGATATTTCTGTTTTTAAACTCTTTCCACTGTGTGGGCAATAAGAAGGCATTTTTTTATACCCATAACAAATTCATTGAGACTGACTGGCATGGAATAGAACCCAATAAATTCAGGTTAAACTATCCTATAAAATTTAGAAGGTCCAACCACTCAAACTAGGATTCCTCAGAGTATAAGACTGACACTTTTACCGTTTCGGTTCATCTGGTAATTAACTGTAGTGCAGTAATTTGCTTTCTTTCTAGATTGTAATTATGTTTAATTCTTTCTGATCTTTAAAAGATAATTAAAAAAATAAATTACAAAAGGATACAATAAAACAGAATCCTCCTTCTTTCCATTTTTAGCTTTTTTCTGTTTTTTCTTTTGTAATATCATACAAAATGACTAAGAATATAACCAAATTATAGCATTAATGTCAACTGTGTTTAGGATAATTATTATTTTCTTAAAAATTTAATACCTGAAACCAGTCGTAAAGATTAATCAATCGACCACATTCTAAGTGGAGTTTATATGCAATACATATATCTGGTAACGATGATGGTATCTCATCCAAATCTTTTAACTTGCAACAAGAACACTAAGTGATAAATTAATTAGCTTTGAAATTATAAGCTGATTATTATTACTATTATAATTATATATAACGTTTACCTGAAGATAATTATGTGGATCTCGTAAAGCACTTTGTAGTGAAGCTCTCGGCGAAGGCAACATATGCCTCTCCACAGCTGCGACATCATCAAAATAAAACACTTCGTGAAGTGGTAGATTAGAAGGGCTCGTAAGCTTGCTACATTTAATAATTTTAAGTTATATACGATATTACATATCTATTTAATTCAGTTATCAAGAACACTTACCCAAAAACACTTTTCAAATAACTAATTAAATCATTACACCATACTTCTTGAGGTGTCTCCTTCTTATGTTCAACCAGATCTTTAAGTTTCTTTTTGAACAAAATAATTTAATTAATTATAATTAACTCTATAATTTGATTAAGTAACCATCATCTTACCTCTTTCAATTGTGATCTACTGGTCATTTTACCCCAATTTAACATAATTGATTTTGCTTTTTCCTCAACATTAATAGGCACTGAAAAGATTTTAAAATATTATGTTTCCGTCACGACTGCTTTCGATAACTATCATTAATTAACTATGATGATTACTTACAGTTCTCGGGCAATTTTTTCAATTTTTCAAGATAATCCTTAATATCTGTTCCAATCCTTACCAATGATTCTACCTTTCGTCCATTGTACTGTTCATTCAGAATACATATAAAATTTTCCAAATTTCTAACCATGTCTTCCGTCGACATCATGCTAAATAACATTTTTTTCCATTAAAAATAAAAACAAAACAAAATATATTTTATTAAAAATACAAACCCAAATAATTTAAAAGATTTTTCAAATTCTTCGGTAGTTGATACATCTCTTTCGAGAATTAATTGATAAAGTTCTCGAATCTATCGATTAAAAACGTAATTAAAACTTTTGGATAATTTAAAAATATAATAACTCTGATAATTATAAAAATAATTCTTACTTGTTTACCGAAAGGTTGTCCTGGTATATCTTTCACTAACCCGTGCAAACATGGCATTAAACAATCGATCTCGGATGCATTTGTATGGATGTTTTGTAAAGAATCTATAATAATTTTCTATGGAAGAATAAAGAAAATATTTTATAACAGTTTTAACAATAATTTATTAAATTATAGAATTTTCGAACCTGAATATTTTGTTTTATTGGAGTTCTCCTGTTGTTTGGTTTCGAACCACCTAGATGACTGCAAGCAAAATAACTGCTATTAATTTTATGAAATTGTATAGTGGTTTATGTATAAACTGACGGAATAAGGTGATGCGACATGAATGATATGCCAAAGAGATGACTCTCAGGAGGAGTTTCTAATGGGAAATTGCCCCATTTAGGTGTTATACACATGAATAAAATCCAGAAAACTCCAAGTGGCCCATTGGAGAGGCACAAAACCAAGACCAACTAATAGTGTTCAGTGGTTTTATCCAGTCGTCCACAAGTAAATTCCTTGGAGTAGACAAGCTGGTAAAGGTGTTAGCCTGTCACTTTGTGTACCCAGGCCCGAGCCTAGGTTAGAACTTCAAATTTTGTCTCAGATAAATCAAGACATGCCTCATTGTGGCTTGGCCAAATCAGTGATGGATGTAATAAAAGACACTCCCTATTATAGCCATAAGACAGAATAAAAGAAATTCTAATAAAATTAAATTACAGATAACAAAGCTTACCTTTTGATAGAATGTAATGCTGTGATGTCATCTAGCTCTGTTTTTGACAATTTTCTCACATTATCAGCTATTGTATTTTCATTACAGCAGAGTATAGAAGCATTATTTTCAAAGAAATGTTCAAAGAGACAAAACTGGAAAATAAATTAAGCTTATAAAATTTAATTATAGAGAGATCTTACTAAATGAAGATTTTAAAAAATAAACCTTTAGAAGACGCTTCAGATTCGTAACAGAAAAATCATAGAAGAGGACATAATCGACTACTAATCTAAATACATTCGGTCCCATTTTGAACGGCAAAGAGGGGTTCATGATAATCTGAAAAGAAAAATTTTAAATCTGCACAAAAATTATCATAATTTCTTTATTTTCTTATAAGTATTAAAATTATACAAAATATAGGATGTTCCAAAAAGAATGCTACTATTTTAAATTATTGTAATTATGTTAATTATTATCTAAGAACATCATAATGTGCACGAAAACATTGAAAAACCATCGAAGTTTTACATTTGCCCATAATGATTTCTTGATGCATGCATCTAAGTTGCATGGCACACTCCAAGCTATACTCAGATTCTTCCTATGCTTGCCACGGCATATCTGTCATCATTTCTCCCCACAGATTACTCATGTTGTATGACGACAAGTGATTCTGACTTTGCAAACTGCGGAATGCAAAATTCCTTCTCTGTTGAAGAGTCGCCACTTTTCTTTATGGCACTTTCAAGAGACAGTAGACGAGACATTCAAATACAGACAGGATATGAAACTTGGACAGTTACTCTAACGAATGGTTTACATAACACACTTCTCAAATAATAATTAACATAATTATACAGTAATTTAAAATGGCAGTATTCATTTCAGAAGAACCCATATACCTGTAGAACTTGTGACAGGTAATCGACAGGTGAGAGCGAATAAAACGATTCTATTGCTAAACAAGAGGAGGCTTTCTGAGTTAAAGAAGTGTGAACCGTAGTCATGGCAGTTGCAACTCCAAAAATTAAAACCAGGGGAATTTTGTCGATGTAAGAACTAAAAAATATTATTTTTTAAATAATTAAAACAGTAATTTTGAATAAATATAATAATAATTCGTACTTGCAAACGAGGATAAAATTTTCTAAGATATCGGGATTAAAAGTTTCAAATTTGTCTAAGACAATTACAAGTGGCGGATTAACCATAGACTCTTCCAATTTTTTCTTTTTTCTTGGTGATTTACATTTCTGTAAATAATTGTAATTAAAAATTTGTATATAAATTCAATTAGAATTAATTAATAAAGTATTAATCCACTATCTAGAATTGCACACGACAGCAGGAAATAAATGAAACAACAAAAATTCTCTGTTATTCCCATAACGAAACTTATGTATCATTCCTCATATATTTTAAGCTCATTTAACTATTAAAAATTCACAGTTTACTTAATTTAAATAGTAAATAATTAGAAAATTTTATAAACATACCTTTGGCAACTGTTTTAATTGAATTTTTGACATATACCATGATTCTAATAAAGAAAATGTGTAATTATACTTTGTCAATTGAGAACCCTCGTCCCATTCACTCTAAACGAATAGAAAATCAGATAATAATACTTGTTAGGGAAGTTTCTTGAATGAAAAATCCAATTTAAACTACTTCTCTTAGAATAAAAACTTTTCCGAAGCAGTGGCCAGGTTGTGCCAAAAATATCAATTCCCTTCCAATCGCCAAAGTCAAATGTTGTCGGCCTTTCACTTTGGTGATAAGACAGGTTTATACTTTGAAAAGAAGATGATCCAAGAACACCGAGCGCTGCTGCTCGTTTGAACAGCCAGATGGCCAAGACATTTATGTTGGCCTACCGCTCTGGCAGACTTAGGATCAAATCAAGACTTAGAATATTTCATGGTCTATCCCAGATAAGTCAGGCTTACTACCTAGCTGCAGCATATATCCCAAAGGTAATTGAGTTTTCTAAAAGTTTTCATTCCAAAAGAGTTTGAATTAAATTTACAAAATCTATATTCTTAAATACTTAGAAATACACTTACATCTTTAACAAAACCAGTTACAGTTTTCTGGACCATACTTGCAATGTTCGAGCAGTCCCTAGAGTTTAAAATTACCACGTGAGTTGTTAACGATTCCAGTTTCCTCGACAGCAGATTAAAAAATTGGAAGTGATCAGGGGTGTTGACACCTAATTAAAATAAACCCGTAGGTAAAATTTCATACATTTATAAAAACATCATTTCATTAGTCTTACCTAAAACTATGGCACAGGTCGGAATCTCCAAAAGTTTTCTCAAAGTCGTCCCTCTTTCGACAAATTTCACAATGTCTTTAATAATACTCTTATGAGCAGTTTCTTGAATGCTCTAAAATAGAATATTTTAATTTAAACATACCTCATCACGAAAACAGCAACTTATAAATAATGTTACCTCTATTTCCGACTCTACCCTTGCCCACATTGTCTTGTACAACTCACGTCTCTTGCTCCAGTTTTCTTCTTTTGCTACTGTTTAAATGCAAAATTCAATTACATTTGCCTAAGAAATTCAAACTAATTACTCTCTATGACCTCTTGCAAGAGATAAACTGAACCGAACTTCTTAACACAATTCCCACAACTGCACAGATTTTTGTAATTAACATTAATTAACTTTCTATTTAAAGATACTTAGAGTAAATTTAAGATGATGATAGTGATTCTTGCATTTAACCAAGCGTAACTCAATTTTATGATCATTTTATTATTACTGTACTCTACTATAAAAACTTTGCTGTTCTAAATAATTATTCTTAAAGTGTTCAATATAATTTATTAACTTTTAATTTTACCGATACGTCACAAGCTGTTTTCTTTTTTTGCCTCTTTTTTGTTCTGCAAGCACCAACGGAGCCTTTTTTCCACACCTGCTGCCAGATCCACAATAGGGGCAGCCAGATTGCAAGGGATAGGCCCCAACATATCTCGAAGAGTTGCTCTTCCAGATTTGAGTAGTAGGTCTACACCTTAACTGTCTCGTCTGGCCAGCCATCATCAAGTAAAATTGACTTTTTGCAGTTACTACGTACAGTCAAGTCCACTTAAGAGAGCACCCTTGGGATCGGTCCCTTATGCAAAGTAACAAGATCATCTGGGAGGTTGTTTATGGTATGCAAATGTCTCTCTCCATCTCTTCATATCTTAGGAGCAAACAGTATAAACCCAATACAATATTGTAAGAATAAAATTATTTTCTATCAAATTTTATAATAATTCAAAAATACGAAAGTGAAATACGTGTGCATTACTATTCAAGCAATAAACAACCTAAACAAGTTTATTTTAAAAAGTCTGTAATTTTTTTTGATACAATTATGGTAGATGCATGCAGGCAGCAAAATTAAGACGACAACGAATGCCTACGACAGATTCAACCAATCACCCATTCTATTACTTGAAAGAGGCAATCGGTGGCACCAGTTGTTGAAATTTGACATCTTAAATTTTTTGGCTCGTATATGATTTTACTTGCATCTTTCTTTCCAATCATCTCCTCGATCTTGATACTGTAGCATAGAGATCCCTCCTGTCACCGCATGCCTCGGTGGCAACATACCGTAAGATTAAAGATAAATCTCTCTTAGAATAGTGCACGCCTGTGCTGACCGTTTCTCTACGAAAGCTGTCGACCCGGTACTCATTTAAACAAATTGCTCTACTGTTCGGTACTGTTAACGGGTGTTCCGCTATACGTAACAAAAACACCGAAGCATACTCTCTTAAGCAAACCGCTCTCTCGTTTGACGGTCCAAAGACTCGACCGTGTCATAAGAACCATAGAGAGCCACATAAAATATCATTCCTAAACCCACGATACATTTTGGATTTGCTTGTATAAGGATAGCCTAGAATCATTGTAGGATGTCAATGGTTTATTAGAAGAGATAAAATGCTTTCTTAATTGCTTATAAGTTTTATGCATTTATAACTTAAAGTTTACAGCAGGTCATTTAATACGAAGTTTCAATGGCCTTCAAGTGTCACTTTCTCTTGTATCGAGATTGACGATTGGTAAACGTAACTTCTTTTCTTATTGGTTAATTAAACGAACGAACTTGTAATCTCGAACCGGTGTAGAAATTTATAATAATGTATTAAATCTTAAAACCTACCTCGTGTTTGCGTATTTTGATTTCTGTACACGAAACAACCCTGAAAAAGAGCAATTAATGTCACGAAATTTGATATAAATTCCGTTAAATTTACATTTTGCTTACTTTTGAAAGAGAAATAGTATCGTCGCCAGGCATTGTTACTGCTACTTTGTAAACACGCGCCAAGTATTTAAAGCGATCGCAGCGCCAAAATCGGAGAAATTTGGAAATAACGTGCAGTTCAAGAAAGCCGATGAACAAGATGGCTAGGCGTGTGTATATATACCAGGCCTGGTGTATACTAGAATGCTTTAGAAAATTATTAGAGGAGAGCAGTCTCGCCAGATTTTATAAAACTTTAATAATAGTTTAATAATGATCTCAAATTACCAGTTGATAGAGATATGAAGCTTATTAAGCTGCAATGGAGCCAAGTAATCGCGATCACATTAAGACTTATTTGTGGAATGCATTTCGGTCTAAACTGAACCCTACTCGGCTATAATTATATACAGATATGTACTTGCAATATGCTGACATAATAGTTATAAGTTACAGTTTACACTTATAACTATATTGCAGCTTACAACTATATTCAATAGTGTTTCAGAATGGCGCATCGAACAGGAAAATACTAACATAAAGCTCCAAAAAAAAAAAAAGATCTTTTGCCAATCTTAAAAATAAAGACCAGTTGATTCTAGACCGAAGAATAATGATACTAGGATATCGCGCGACTTTGTCGTATCGCGATAAATTGAGGCGGAACCGGGAAAGAAACGATCCCTGCAATTGTAAGGCACAGAAGTTAATGGAAAATGGCAGTTTTATCAAAATCGGCTCATTAAATTTTGAGAACGAACTGATAGAAACGTACTAGCGACCGCGAAACATCGCAAGACAAAGGGTGCGACTATGCAGACGCGAATTTAGAGCGAGCGAGAGGTTGCGAGCGATTTAGTTTTCGCAAAGGAAAACCATGCACAAACGAGAAGCGAGAAATAACGGTAGCGAGAGCGAATTTCTGGTTCTCGCACATATCTGACAGGTTTTGATATTTATCGCGTCTCGCCTCTTCTCGCTCTCTCGCGTCTGCATAGTCGCACCCAAAGTTGCGCGACCTCACGAAACCACCTTATATCTCGAAAACGAAGCCATGGACCCCCATTTTTTTTACATTTTTAGATTCCTCGTCTCAATTAATAGAAAATGTCAAAGTTTAATCAAAATCGATCGAACAGATTTTGAGAACGTCTTTAATTTCATAAATTTTTATCGCTTTTGGAAAGGCAACTCCATATTCCTCTCGCAGGCCTCGTGTAGATAAAAGCGCCAATCTGTTATTGCATCGTAACGCAAAAAATTACGTTAAAAAAACACAACTAAGATAATGCAAATTATAGAATCAAAGACATTTTAAAACGCATCAGACTAGTGGATCGGCATATAATCCTCCGCCTCTCACCTTAACGCATGAGATACTTCGCGCTAATGCACTCTATAATCGTAACAGAGCGCCTAATTAACGCGGTAATAATAGCAATTTACAATATAAATTGATTTAAAACTTCCGACCTGTTACGGTATTAAAATAGTAAACGAGTTTCATCGACGCTATTCGCACATCACTTGTTAAGTCCATCAAGTTAAGCCGCTCCAAACACAATATGAAAGTCTTGGTAGTGAGTATTTTACAGAAAAATTTACTTTTATGGTAACTTATCAGTAACACCGTTACTTTCAGTTACTGCTTTTGGTATCTTCAACGATAAGGGCCGAAGAGTCGAACGACGACGGAGCATCGCGTAATTTGTTCCACGAGCAGGTAAAGCATATATATATATAAACGTTACTTCACTTCCTGCGTAACTTCTCACGTTATAATTTTGTACAGGGATTGAACGGCCCGCATTCTTATCGTTACGGTTACGATACGGGAGACGGACCTAACCGTCAGACTAAGTATGAAGAGCGAGACGATAAGGGTATCGTTAGGGGGTCCTACACCTTCGTCGATCCTCACGGGAAAGTGCAGGTCGTAACCTACGAAGCCCACCCCAAATACGGTTTCCGGGCCAAAGGAAGTTTCGGCGTTTTCCCGCGTAAATCTTGATGTAATATTAATTAAAATTTCGGCTTCGATTCCAAAATGGTGCGCCGTTTTAAATTCCTATTCCACCAAATAAACATGACGGTTCTGGCTTATTTGAGATGTTAGTGTGTAAAATCACTTTGTTTGCTGTGTAAAAATGTGTCCGGAACTGCATTCTGGGTAAAATACTTTTTAAAATAAAACAAAAACTACACAATTTCATCTAAAGACTTTTTATTGTCACTTTATACACCTGTGTTTCAAACAGTGTAACCATAACTTTCCACTATTTGTTTGTAAGGTTCGATCCTCTTGGCCACTTTCTCTTTAGCTTGCTGGAGTAATTTCTAGAAAAATACAAAACACATTCAATATTTAATTTCTTAATATTTTGAAGATTAATATATAAAACATAAATGTGTTATCAGCTGGTAGTGCATGTAAGTTGTAATCATATTCTCATTTCGAAGAAAGATCATCATCGAAGGATCGGAACGCCAGCAGCTCATATCTATGGAACGCTTACCTCGTCGTGCTTCTTCTTAGAGTAATATATAGCCGATTTCGCTTTTCTCTTCATTTCCAGCGTGGCAATTACATTCTGATACTTCCAACCGACCTCGTGCGATAGACGACTCAACGTGCAATACTGAAATTGCAAAGGAGTGTTAAAAAAAAAGGCATAAAGCTGATGACTTTTAGCAATCGAAATAATACCTTTCTGCGGGGATTGAGCCTCAGCACCCGGAGGGCCGAAGGTACGACCATGCGCTTCTTCTTGTCGTACGGGGGAGGGATCCCTTCGAAAACCTTCAGTCTTTCGAGGGCGGTGTCTCCTCTCTTGGTCTTGTGAGGAAGCATTCCGCGTACCGTGCGCCAGAATATTTTACTGGGAGCCCGGAAGTGGAAGGGTCCTCTGGCAGGATTCACATTGCATCTTTTCCTCAGAAATGACAAATATTTTACTAAAAAAATAGAAATTTGCCTTTTTTAAATTACAACTGTTGTCTTTTTTTAAATTTTAAATATATCTCGTGTGTTCAGATTTCTATTTTATCATATTATTTCAATCAATGTAGGTAAGGAAAAAAAATGCTCATCATTATTTTTATTGAATTTATCTTAATATTTACTTTGAACTTACATTTGTTACGGAAGAAACTTCCAGAGATGTTTATTCCTTCGCATCTCACCACCACCACACGCTGTCCTGAGGAAAGAAAATTAAATTTGTAAGTCATTCATCAAATTTTTAATTCTTTAATATTTATAAAAATTCTCTTATCAGCTGGTAGTGCATGTAAACTATAATCACATTTTCATTCACTAAGAGATCATCATAATTTTTAAGATAAATTAACAAGAATCCAATGGTACCTAACATTCAAAAAATGGTAACCACTCACCTAGTAAAACTCGAGGGAGACAGGCCATAGAAAACTCAAAAATCAGAAAATGAATGAACTCAAAATTTAAGTTAAGCTAGGTTCACACGCAAACAAACCACTACAAAAATACATATTGTCAGTTTGTATCCTTTTGTCAAGCATTCAACCAGTTTCTTATGAGTTATACTAGAATATAACATTAAACAAGGCTAATATGTTAAAAACTAGTAAACTTTAGAAAGTCATCTTGAATACATGCATTAAATCTGAATTTAAACATCTTTCAGTTGCTATAGGTACCAGAGAAAAGTATACAACATTTTTGAAACTGAAATAACACATCTAACTAGAGTGATAGTCACGAAAGACATTTGGTTACACTTAAATACAGTTTTTCACTACTTGACTTTGGTTGGCAGAAATGTCAGAAATATTGTTTTGTTTCCATTCACATCTATGCTGTATTTTACATATTTATGTTTCCAGCCTAAATCCATTCCAGTTTTAAAATGAAGAGAATGCTTTACCAATTTACTGAGATTAAAAAAAAAAAAAAATACTGAAAATATCAAATACTTCACTGTTAAAAGATAAACAGATTTGGAGAGTACCAAACTCAAACAAGTGAATCAACCAAGATGTATCTAAAGTTCAGATTTTTTGTGAGAACCAGGGCTGTGGAGTCAGAGTCGGATGGTAAGGAAAAGTCGGAGTCAGTAGATTTTTACGCAACTCCACAGCCCTGGTGAGAACACAAATAAGTTCCACTTAAAAACATGTGCTTGCTTGCCTTCTTTCTCACTTGAGAATATATACATTAATACAAAAACCAAGTAAAAGTTTCTCTACAAAAGTTCTACAAGTGATATTAAAACAGCAAAACAGAAATGACATAAAAGTTTATAAAATTATTTACAATGATAAACCAACAAAATAACAAAAATAGTATACTAATTTTCCCCAATTTTTAAGATATCCAGAATACCAAATTCTCCACATGCATTTGAAGTTATTGATACACTCCATTAACAAGGATCCACGAGATTAGATTAGAAAAAAATTAGCTCATTATCTTTATTCTCCCTCATCTCTTACTGTAATCTAACATTTTCTTCACTTATGAATGTATGCAATAAATGACGGTAGTATTAGCTGTATATATGATCACCAATAAAAACAACTACAGTAGAGCATCGATTATCTGAATACCAATCAACCAAAAGCTTTTCAATCAGCAAAATGAATTTCTGCTAGTGCTGTGGTGTTGCAGCACTCTCTCCCTCCCTGCCAACATAAACTGTAGGCCTACTTTAATGTACAGTAGAGCGTCGTTTATCCAAATCAATTGGGACTGGGGTTGTTCGGATAACTTATTTTTCGGATAACCAATTATGTAAGGAAAAATATATTAATTTATCCCGCGTTGAAATTTTTCTCCGTTGCGCGTCGCTTCACGTTGAATTTAATAACGAAGACTATGGTATCATTAAAAATTATTTTTTTATTTTGTACAAACAAAATAAATATATTGAAAAATATAAAAACAATAAAAAATTATACTTCCGAAGTTAATTTAGTATCAAAAATGTAAAATATCTGAGTAGCCGAAGACATAGCCAAAGATTACAGTGGCACAGCACTGGCGAAAATTTAAATTTGTCGACTGGAATTCCTTCGGATAACCGACCTTCGGATAAACAACGCTCTACTGTACTACTTTATGTAATGTATGAATTTCTAAGACGTGAGATTCAAAATACAGTGGTGCCTCGTATAACGTACTTAATCCGTTCCAGGTGCACGTCCGTTAAGTGAATAGTCCATTATACGAAACGCATTTTCCCATAGAAATACATGTTAAAACATATAATTCGTTCCGCAGCATAAAATAACTGTACTGTACCATAAAAAAATGAAAATGGAGCAGTCACCAATTATGCCGGGTAGTCAGATGTTGTGAGGAGGAGGAGNCGATAATATTTATATGAAATTTTAAATTTAATTAATCATTTAATTTAATTTAACATTTCCGGCATATTCCCTTCATTTTTAAAACCCCCTTTTTTTTACTATATTTAGCAAGAAAGAGGAAGCGAGTTGAACTAGTTCGCGAACTGTTTAAGAACAAGAGAAATCTCCTCCCAATTTCATTGTTATTGTTCCTATCCAAGTAAAAAAAAATATAAAAAAGGCATATTTTGTGAATCATTCTCGCATCAATAGGCAAAGAGGTTGATATTCTCCGTAAGGTTGAGATCGCAAAAATTATTCTAGCAATTGATCCACTCAATTGGCCTACATCTTATCGCCTCTTTAAAAAAAAATACTTTTAATTATGTTATGTATTATTATTCATTAATGTTTTATCAGATAAACACTCGCTCAGAAGGATACTTTTACACATTACACAGTGTAACATATAATTAATGACCACAAATATGTCCTACTTTATGACAGCGGCAGGGCGAAAGTGATCCATAACGGGCCAGCAAAGTCTAATATCCTTTTAAGGGGCGAAATTTTACTCTAGGAAAATCTACGTAAGGGCTAATAGAACCGAGACCAAGGACCCAAAACATAAAGCAGGGCCTCTTTAACAAGTACAGTAATGTACTGTACTTGTTAAAGAGGCCAAAAGGAACCTCAAAGTTAGATTCGCTCCAGCTCTAATGAGCCGGCAGCACATAAAAGATTAAATTTGGGGGCTCCGGACAATGTGGACCCTCAAATTTTAATATTTTATTGATTTTTTGTGTGTGTGTGTGTATTTTTATGGCCTTCTAAGAGGATTGTTACTCACATTCATCAATAACTCGAAAGTCCTCCATCATAAATTACTTGTGATCATTTTTAAAAGTTATTTTTGATACTTTAAAGATATTTTTAACACACTAAACCCTATTTATACATATTCTTATGAGAGATAATTGGAGGAAATCCATCATTAATGCAGGCCTGAAGTTATTTTTCTTTGATATTCTAAGTGATGCTTTTTGAGGACAAGATCTCTATTATCTCTCTTCCTTCTTATCGTAATGTTACAGATCTTCAGTTTATCTAAATAAGAATCCTCCTTTAAATTTCAAATATTTTTTTTTTATTTTCTTTTTTAACAAAATTAAGACTATGGACCTATATGCGTGCAAAATTAAGACAATACTGGACCTAGATGAGAGCTAACCGTGTACTTCACGTGACCATACATTTATTATTATTTTATTTTTATTGTCACGGGTATTTTAATATTTTGCTAAGGTGAAACTTTTATTAATAATATTTTATAAATAATAGAAACAAATATGGTGTTTGAGCTTCAGAAACGAGCGCGAAAATGGAAAAATCTTATAAGAAAAGTGCTCCTCGCTACGCTTCTAACACGAAAAGCCTTCAAGGATCTAACATTACGCTTCGAAAATAAGAAAGAAATCAGCCCAAATTAATAGAATAATAAAGAAAAATGAACAATAATAATACATAATATGAAAAAATATTGATGATTATCCATTATGCTTTAAGTAGGTCTTCTACTATCTTTACGCAGACTTTTATTCTCCTCCGGATTATCATGGTGAAGAGTAGCATCTTTTTACCATTAAAAGGTAACAATTTAGCATGAATAATTTTAATTTTTTATTGGAAATTTNTAAAAAAATACGCTTTTATTGGTCACGTTTGTCGTGATTAGGGGTGGATTTTTTTAAATTCTTTCTGGCCTGTTTGGGAACTAAGAGGGCCGCTTTTAAGCAAGTCTGCCCAAGCCAAGATTCGGCCAAGGGTAATGAGGATTTGGTAGTGAGCAAGGGCCCCGAAAAATTCCTGGGTTTTTTTTTTCTTATCTGTTCGGATTCCTTTCCCGGGTCCTTCAGAGCGTTATGCTGCTACCTTAATCGGCTATCCAGCCGTCGGAAGTGGGGATAGGGGATTGAACACACCCTACCATAAACATCTTTGTAGCGCATTTACATAATGTATAATGATTAAATTCTATATTTGGTTATATTTATAGGATAGCGGCGGAGGACAACCCTATAAACATCAATAAAATTCATTGTCATCGGACTTAGATACAGTATGTCTTCGAAGCTTCTGAATTTCAATATTTGAGGACGATAAAAAGCAAGTTAAATAAAAACGTAGAAAAAAAATATGTTACAATTTAAACTGTAGAGGAAAAGGTGGTATTATGGAACACTGCGGGTATTATGGAACCACCCATTTCGAACTGATAACAAAGGCGAACTTGTAGCGGATTGTGGCTGAACTGAACTAGGCAGACATCCATAGCCAGGGAAAAACCCATTTCACTTCAGTTAAACGGTTGTCCGTAGAGAATCGGCAAATCTGTGTTTTTCAAAATTCGAAAGTTTTGAATGCTAAGTGAATTTAATTATTTTTAAAATATAAATCGTGTAGTTGTAAGTTCACTGGTGCATGTATTCCGTTCCAGAGACTTAGGAGTACATATTAATTAATCTGTGTGATGTTCACGTTTTTTAAAATTTGGTCTTGACAGACATAAGTTAATTCAAGATGGCGATTCCATTGGTGCTTTTAATATAGAACCCAACTCATCCGAACTCTCTATTTGCAAGCAGACATTCGTCCGGAGCAATTTGTGTAAAAGACATTAGGTAGAAAGCCAATTCTTCCTGACAATATCGAAAAAGAGCTGCTGGAATATATATTGTTGATGGAGGTCATATTTTTCTATTATAAAAAGCATTTTTTCGTACAAAATACATTGGAGTAAATAATTTTGTAATTATTTAATATTTTTTGTACTTTCCTATTTGTTTTTGGCTACATTAAAGCATTTTTTGAAAACATACAGTAAAGTTCCATATTACCACCCGATTTTCTCTAAGCCTACTTTCTGACTTTTTGTACAAAGCCTTCAAAAACCATACTTATAGTTACACTAGCGAAAAATCCAATTAGGAACATTTAGTTTAATAGTTACTAGTACTTTTCGCACAAAAAAACGTGGGTGTAGTTATGATACCTTGTTTACAATTCACTAAAATGAAAATGGGGTTCCATAATACCACCTTCTCCTCTACAATAAAGATTTATCTGGGAAATCTTCACATATATTATTATGCTCTTTTTAAACTGTGTTTTGCCAACAGAAAATTTGCACTTTCTTATTTTAGAGGGTACCAGTAGACGTCTCGGATTTTTCGTCTACCACCTAGCGACAGGAAGACTTTATTCTAAAAACTGTTCCTACAGTAAACTACCTTTCTCTTTCTCCACATTTTAAATATATTTTTGTCACTGACAGAGTAAAAATACACACCCCCGCATGTCCTGAAATTGAAGCGTTCCAGTATCTTTTGGGAAGAACTTATTTTATCCCCAAGTATCTGGCTATCCTAGTTATTGTCGATGAACTCTGCAATTTTTCTTTAACAAACAATTTTCTAAACCAGTTTTCTAATTTACTATGTAGCGTAAATTTTTTTTCTTAAATTTGGGTTGAATAATTGATGGCCGAAACGTTAAGTCGTCGGCCTACCGCTCTGGGAATTCCAGGCGGGCGAAAAACCCCAGAAAGTTTTTGGAGGGAGGTTAATTTTTTTTTGTAAGTCTGGCCGAACTTAGCGTCCACGAGGAGTCAAAAATAAAAGAAAAAAAATTAAAAAAAAGGCTGTTTTACGTACACGACAGAAATATGAAAATAGCGCAGCTCGCACTATAATTTTTCAAGAACAAGTAGTCGTGAAAGTGCGTGCCTATTGTATTTATTTTAAAACACTTTTCCAATAAACACGTTCATAGAAAACTAATCTAAACCAAATGATGAAGTTAATTCAGTAAATGTAATTTTGGATAAAGCGGCTTTAATATTAATACGTCATTGGTTTGCTTATACAGCTGTATTAACTCGCGTTACAAGACAGTGCGCCTTTTATAATTTTTAATTTCATTTTTAAATTAAAACGATATTATTAAAAATAGAGTGACACAATAAACCTGTATACTTCAATTTTAATATTTGGTATAATCAATTATCATAAGCAACGTCACTGACTTGACCACCAGGGGGCTTTAAAAGACTTCTGGTAGTCAGATGAAACCACATGGCATTGAGTGTATACACTCCATCCCTAAGATTCCCTATCAAATTAATATTTATAAAACTATACAGTCATTTAAATATATTCTATATATTTATAATCCAAAAGAAGATAGATTACACTACTTATTTGCATAATATCTATACAAAAAAACATCAAAACAAATTCAACTTTTTATTTGTTTTAAATTTTATTATGCTTAATGATTAAATACATAATATAAATGACTAGGAACAAAAATAATCAATATTCTTTAAAATAACAATTTAATGAGCAAGGAACAGTGAACCAAAAATTAAAGGATCTTCAGGAACTTCCTGTTGTTTTTATAATTGTAAAAGTTAATATATATTAAGTTTTCTGAATGGCCAAAGTGGCAAAAGCATTGGATCAGCAATCCAAGGGACCCGGTTAGAGTCAAAGTCTGACCTTTGGAAATTTCCGTGGGTTATCTGACTAAAGTGTTTGACTGTGCCTTCGCTAGACCATTCCATTGTGGGTCTCTGGCCAAACCAACAAAACGAATGAGAGAAACATTCAGAATTCAATAAATTTGGTGTATTATTTATTCATAACTATGAAATAATGTTTTTTAGCTTTTAAGCTTTTACTATATTATACCATCTATATTATAACAACATTGAAATTTCGAATATCAAAGCTATCACATTTCAATTTCTAAGTGAAATTTGTAGATTTGGAATGTCTCAAATGATAACCATCAATTCTTCAACAAGATATATATATAAAAAATACTATATTTATATACAATAGATATTAATTTGGTCCTATTGAAAGAGGAAAGGCACCTTGTTTTCGTGATGGTTGTAATTAATTCAAAGTCAATTTTATAGCTTACACACGAAATACTCGTTTGGGCACTCAAAATTACCATTTTCTGTGTTTTTTAATCTGTAGATGCTTTCTCTTAAGGAACATTATTAATTACAAACAACAATCATTTCTGTTTATATTAAACTTTCCTACTTAACTATTTGGAATGTATATTTATTCAAAAAATTAGCATATTATCTCACTAACATTTTATGCTATTATTCTTTTCGTAATTACTCTGAAATATCAGAATATTAACTATATATTAACAACTACCCAGTGGCAGCTTTAGGCATAGGAAACCTAGGCTTTACATAGTGTCTCGGAATTGCAACTATATGCTTGTTAGTCGTCAACCTTGATCCTCTTAGATCCTCCTCAACTGTCTAGAATCCTCTCCAATTCTGTAGAATCTCCACATTGTAGTATCAAGTATCACGTAACACAAAGCCTTTTATAAAAACTTTATAAGTCCGTACTTGCCTAAGGCCTCGCACAATCTAAAGCCACCACTACAACTACCTTTAATTCTATAACAAATAAATTTTCTTAAATGCTTCAAAAACATGCAACTATGAGTATAAACTGTAAAAACTATTCGATAACAATATTGCACATATTGCACCTTCATTGCATCTTACTTGATAACTTTGGCATGATTAGATATAAAATAAAATAGTATATTATGCTAGTCAGATCACATTTAACAAAATTTATGCCATACAAATGAAAATGACATTATTTGGTTCCTTATTAATTGGTTTAAATGTGTGAGAACATTGACATAAATGAATGTAAAATAGCAGTAAGTTATTTATCCTTACATTTATAACCAGTATAAACAATTATGATAACTTTTGACACCATTAAAGTCAGTATTTATGTAAAAGCATTGTAAAAAATTAAAGAATTTAGCTTTATTTATTGATTTTGACACTATCTTTTTTATATACAAGTACTTGCTGCTTAACAATTGATACATTATGAGAAAAGTATGTTTTAAGTGTACTTAGAAAAACCAATATGGTATAATTCAACATTCATATAAGCTATATGTAACACAATAGTAAGCATTTACATATACATACATATTTAAGCATAAAAAAGATGCAAACAGTTACAAATTTTTCAGTTCCATTATAATATTAAGAGAACACCATCATATGTATGGGCTGTTAAGCAGCATGTACCTGTATACAATCAAGTCCAAAATTCTACATTAAAAAAAATCATTTAATACCCAATGATTTTGGGCTTTAACCCAGCTAATTACAAATTATTTATCCAAAGAAATTTATACTCAAAGTAAATTCGCAATTTGATTTCTATGAAATCAAATCTTTATATGAAAATATAAATCGCTAACGTTATAAATATAACATTTCTTCAATATCAGAATAGTCTATGCAAGAATAAATAGCTTAATGGTGTCAAAAGCAAATTTTTAATCCCTCAATAAAATTTACATTAAACACAAACAAAATTCAATATTCTCATATAAAATGTGAATATTCTTGATTGTCATTTAATAAATAATTGTAAAATTATAAATACGATGNTAACATATTGTCATTGGCAACAACAAAAGAGTGGAAACATCATTCGCATTGTTCATAGAAAGTCCATTGGTCGCCTCACGTAACTGCCGAACGGAAAGTCCGTTGCTCGAGTCACGTAACGGCCAAACAGAAAGTCCGTTATTCGCAGCGTCCGTTATTCGAGGCGTACATTATACAAGACACCACTGTATATACAGTACAGTTTTGTTTAATATATTTTTTCATAAATGATCAGTTATCCAAACAATCCAGTCCCAAATTGTTTTGGATAATCGACACTCTACTGTATTTTTATATATTATAGTTGTTGCATTTCTCTAAAATTGGCACAAGAAATGAACCACAAATCTGTAATCGGTTTCTTTTTGATATAAACTGTATCGCAGATGCCAACAACCAAAGACGAACTTACTGATTTTGGGTCAAAAAACTTACTACAGCTGGAGTTTAACTCAAAAAACCTTGGAGAATTCTGGAATTCAAGACGAGCTATGGTAGCTGTGCTTCCATTTGCAACAACATATCTTTGCAAACCGGGATTTTCGACACTTGAAACAACAAAAACAAAGTCAAAATCGATTAGATGTCCAACACGAAGGCACACACGTTGCCTCGTCAGATACCACACCATAATTCAACATTCCGATTAAAGACAAACAATAATCTCCACCGCAACACGTCTTTAAAAAATATAATTTAACATTCCTACATTTTAAATAAATTGTATTATTAATATTTAATGTGTGAAGAAAGAACTATTGTGTTTTTTTTTTTTTATTTCAACTGCTACAATTCAATAATACTGGATTCCTTTAAATTTTATATTTAAAAACATTTTTCTGAGAAGGGGTGGCCTTCACCTGAGGTGTCCAAGGAACTGAAAAGGTTAAGAACTTCCACTCCAAGTGATATCCTCGATAAAATCTTATATATGATCTATAGACATTTCACTATATTTTCCCAATATACATTTTAAATATAAAGATAAATAATCAAAACATTTTCTAGTTATAAACATATTTAAAATATTTTAACAATAATAAAACTGTAGAAACTTACCAATTAATAAAGTTTTAGCAACAATAGCGGCAAGTCGGCCTAGCAAATGGCCGCGACCGTCGATAATAATCGGCTAAACAACAGAAATAACAAATTATAAGGAATTATACACAAAAGAATAACTCGTCATATTCATTCAAAACAGCATTTTAGGCTTAGCTACAGAGTCCACGTTGTCGTTAGGCTTAAGTAAATAAATCTACTTCAATTTTTACTAATCTCGTACAATTAACGTTTAAACGGTTTGACGCGAAGATAGCTTACGTATTAAATTTTATTTTAATATATATAATTCGTTAATTATCTACAATAATAACGTATTTTACCTTACGAGTAAAGCCAGTCATAACCCTAACGTGTAAGAAAGACAAGACGAAAACGGGGGTTCCAACAAGATAACGCACGGAACTTCCCTCTGGTGGAACCTTTCTGAAAGAAATTAAATTTAATTATACCATAAACTTCTTTAAATTATATTTCCTTTTTAGTAGTATAAATGTTATTTTTATAATAATAATAATAATAATTTGTAACATTTGAATTTTATTCGTTATTAATTTGTTTTACATTATTAAATTTTATTCCTCTCCGCCCAGTAAACAATAGGGCGGCCTTTTTAACCGTACCCACCGCTCTAAGAACCCGTAATTGAAACAAAGCGGGCGAAAACCCCGCTTTGTTTCAATTACCAAGAATATTTTGTGGACGCTCTGTTCCGGATATGTCCACCTCTCCGATTATACCCCGACCCATAATGGGTTCATGAATCCGGGAATGAATCCGCTATGGCCGGATTTAATCCCGGATCCATAGAGTGGTAGACCGATGCCTTAACGCCTCGACTATCCAGCCAATGTTAATTTTATATTTTTATTTATGTTCACATTTTTATTAATTACTGTCGAAGTGGAGATAAATCCTGGAAGATAAAACCCAGCCAACAAAAGTCAAAATAAGTAATATATTTTTCAATGGAACGAAAGTTATGTTAATAACATCTTTTTTGACAAATGAAGGGCCTTATAATCAAGCCCACTATGAATTCAAGCAGGCCCACAATTGGGGTGGATGAGACAAACACCCGAAAATTCCTAGAATTTTTCGACTTGTTCGGATTCGTTCTCGGTTATCCAAGAGCGGCAGGCTAACACCTTAACCTCTCGGCTGTTTCGCCTTTTTATTATGATAATCAAAGAAAAGAAATTAATATTTTAATGTATTTAAAAAAATTTTAAAAAAATACGCTTTTATTGGTCACGTTTGTCGTGATTAGGGGTGGATTTTTTAAAATTCTTTCTGGCCTGTTTGGGAACTAAGAGGGCCGCTTTTAAGCAAGTCTGCCCAAGCCAAGATTCGGCCAAGGGTAATGAGGATTTGGTAGTGAGCAAGGGCCCCGAAAAATTCCTGGGTTTTTTTTTCTTATCTGTTCGGATTCCTTTCCCGGGTCCTTCAGAGCGTTATGCTGCTACCTTAATCGGCTATCCAGCCGTCGGAAGTGGGGATAGGGGATTGAACACACCCTACCATAAACATCTTTGTAGCGCATTTACATAATGTATAATGATTAAATTCTATATTTGGTTATATTTATAGGATAGCGGCGGAGGACAACCCTATAAACATCAATAAAATTCATTGTCATCGGACTTAGATACAGTATGTCTTCGAAGCTTCTGAATTTCAATATTTGAGGACGATAAAAAGCAAGTTAAATAAAAACGTAGAAAAAAAATATGTTACAATTTAAACTGTAGAGGAAAAGGTGGTATTATGGAACACTGCGGGTATTATGGAACCACCCATTTCGAACTGATAACAAAGGCGAACTTGTAGCGGATTGTGGCTGAACTGAACTAGGCAGACATCCATAGCCAGGGAAAAACCCATTTCACTTCAGTTAAACGGTTGTCCGTAGAGAATCGGCAAATCTGTGTTTTTCAAAATTCGAAAGTTTTGAATGCTAAGTGAATTTAATTATTTTTAAAATATAAATCGTGTAGTTGTAAGTTCACTGGTGCATGTATTCCGTTCCAGAGACTTAGGAGTACATATTAATTAATCTGTGTGATGTTCACGTTTTTTAAAATTTGGTCTTGACAGACATAAGTTAATTCAAGATGGCGATTCCATTGGTGCTTTTAATATAGAACCCAACTCATCCGAACTCTCTATTTGCAAGCAGACATTCGTCCGGAGCAATTTGTGTAAAAGACATTAGGTAGAAAGCCAATTCTTCCTGACAATATCGAAAAAGAGCTGCTGGAATATATATTGTTGATGGAGGTCATATTTTTCTATTATAAAAGCATTTTTGCGATAAAATACATTGGAGTAAATAATTTTGTAATTATTTAACATTTTTTGTCCTTTCCTATTTGTTTTTGGCTACATTAAAGCATTTTTTTGAAAATATACAGTAAGGTTCCATATTACCACCCGATTTTCTCTAAGCCTACTTTCGGACTTTTTGTACAAAAGCCTTCAAAAACCATACTTATAGTTACACTAGCGAAAAATCCAATTAGGAACATTTAGTTTAATAGTTACTAGTACTTTTCGCACAAAAAAACGTGGGTGTAGTTATGATACCTTGTTTACAATTCACTAAAATGAAAATGGGGTTCCATAATACCACCTTCTCCTCTACAATAAAGATTTATCTGGGAAATCTTCACATATATTATTATGCTCTTTTTAAACTGTGTTTTGCCAACAGAAAATTTGCACTTTCTTATTTTAGAGGGTACCAGTAGACGTCTCGGATTTTTCGTCTACCACCTAGCGACAGGAAGACTTTATTCTAAAAACTGTTCCTACAGTAAACTACCTTTCTCTTTCTCCACATTTTAAATATATTTTTGTCACTGACAGAGTAAAAATACACACCCCCGCATGTCCTGAAATTGAAGCGTTCCAGTATCTTTTGGGAAGAACTTATTTTATCCCCAAGTATCTGGCTATCCTAGTTATTGTCGATGAACTCTGCAATTTTTCTTTAACAAACAATTTTCTAAACCAGTTTTCTAATTTACTATGTAGCGTAAATTTTTTTTCTTAAATTTGGGTTGAATAATTGATGGCCGAAACGTTAAGTCGTCGGCCTACCGCTCTGGGAATTCCAGGCGGGCGAAAAACCCCAGAAAGTTTTTGGAGGGAGGTTAATTTTTTTTTGTAAGTCTGGCCGAACTTAGCGTCCACGAGGAGTCAAAAATAAAAGAAAAAAAATTAAAAAAAAGGCTGTTTTACGTACACGACAGAAATATGAAAATAGCGCAGCTCGCACTATAATTTTTCAAGAACAAGTAGTCGTGAAAGTGCGTGCCTATTGTATTTATTTTAAAACACTTTTCCAATAAACACGTTCATAGAAAACTAATCTAAACCAAATGATGAAGCTAATTCAGTAAATGTAATTTTGGATAAAGCGGCTTTAATATTAATACGTCATTGGTTTGCTTATACAGCTGTATTAACTCGCGTTACAAGACAGTGCGCCTTTTATAATTTTTAATTTCATTTTTAAATTAAAACGATATTATTAAAAATAGAGTGACACAATAAACCTGTATACTTCAATTTTAATATTTGGTATAATCAATTATCATAAGCAACGTCACTGACTTGACCACCAGGGGGCTTTAAAAGACCTCTGGTAGTCAGATCAAACCACATGGTATTGAGTGTATACACTCCATTTCTAAGATTCCCTATCAAATTAATATTTATAAAACTATACAGTCATTTAAATATATTCTATATATTTATAATCCAAAAGAAGATAGATTACACTACTTATTTGCATAATATCTATACAAAAAAACATCAAAACAAATTCAACTTTTTATTTGTTTTAAATTTTATTATGCTTAATGATTAAATACATAATATAAATGACTAGGAACAAAAATAATCAATATTCTTTAAAATAACAATTTAATGAGCAAGGAACAGTGAACCAAAAATTAAAGGATCTTCAGGAACTTCCTGTTGTTTTTATAATTGTAAAAGTTAATATATATTAAGTTTTCTGAATGGCCAAAGTGGCAAAAGCATTGGATCAGCAATCCAAGGGACCCGGTTAGAGTCAAAGTCTGACCTTTGGAAATTTCCGTGGGTTATCTGACTAAAGTGTTTGACTGTGCCTTCGCTAGACCATTCCATTGTGGGTCTCTGGCCAAACCAACAAAACGAATGAGAGAAACATTCAGAATTCAATAAATTTGGTGTATTATTTATTCATAACTATGAAATAATGTTTTTTAGCTTTTAAGCTTTTACTATATTATACCATCTATATTATAACAACATTGAAATTTCGAATATCAAAGCTATCACATTTCAATTTCTAAGTGAAATTTGTAGATTTGGAATGTCTCAAATGATAACCATCAATTCTTCAACAAGATATATATATAAAAAATACTATATTTATATACAATAGATATTAATTTGGTCCTATTGAAAGAGGAAAGGCACCTTGTTTTCGTGATGGTTGTAATTAATTCAAAGTCAATTTTATAGCTTACACACGAAATACTCGTTTGGGCACTCAAAATTACCATTTTCTGTGTTTTTTAATCTGTAGATGCTTTCTCTTAAGGAACATTATTAATTACAAACAACAATCATTTCTGTTTATATTAAACTTTCCTACTTAACTATTTGGAATGTATATTTATTCAAAAAATTAGCATATTATCTCACTAACATTTTATGCTATTATTCTTTTCGTAATTACTCTGAAATATCAGAATATTAACTATATATTAACAACTACCCAGTGGCAGCTTTAGGCATAGGAAACCTAGGCTTTACATAGTGTCTCGGAATTGCAACTATATGCTTGTTAGTCGTCAACCTTGATCCTCTTAGATCCTCCTCAACTGTCTAGAATCCTCTCCAATTCTGTAGAATCTCCACATTGTAGTATCAAGTATCACGTAACACAAAGCCTTTTATAAAAACTTTATAAGTCCGTACTTGCCTAAGGCCTCGCACAATCTAAAGCCACCACTACAACTACCTTTAATTCTATAACAAATAAATTTTCTTAAATGCTTCAAAAACATGCAACTATGAGTATAAACTGTAAAAACTATTCGATAACAATATTGCACATATTGCACCTTCATTGCATCTTACTTGATAACTTTGGCATGATTAGATATAAAATAAAATAGTATATTATGCTAGTCAGATCACATTTAACAAAATTTATGCCATACAAATGAAAATGACATTATTTGGTTCCTTATTAATTGGTTTAAATGTGTGAGAACATTGACATAAATGAATGTAAAATAGCAGTAAGTTATTCATCCTTACATTTATAACCAGTATAAACAATTATGATAACTTTTGACACCATTAAAGTCAGTATTTATGTAAAAGCATTGTAAAAAATTAAAGAATTTAGCTTTATTTATTGATTTTGACACTATCTTTTTTATATACAAGTACTTGCTGCTTAACAATTGATACATTATGAGAAAAGTATGTTTTAAGTGTACTTAGAAAAACCAATATGGTATAATTCAACATTCATATAAGCTATATGTAACACAATAGTAAGCATTTACATATACATACATATTTAAGCATAAAAAAGATGCAAACAGTTACAAATTTTTCAGTTCCATTATAATATTAAGAGAACACCATCATATGTATGGGCTGTTAAGCAGCATGTACCTGTATACAATCAAGTCCAAAATTCTACATTAAAAAAAATCATTTAATACCCAATGATTTTGGGCTTTAACCCAGCTAATTACAAATTATTTATCCAAAGAAATTTATACTCAAAGTAAATTCGCAATTTGATTTCTATGAAATCAAATCTTTATATGAAAATATAAATCGCTAACGTTATAAATATAACATTTCTTCAATATCAGAATAGTCTATGCAAGAATAAATAGCTTAATGGTGTCAAAAGCAAATTTTTAATCCCTCAATAAAATTTACATTAAACACAAACAAAATTCAATATTCTCATATAAAATGTGAATATTCTTGATTGTCATTTAATAAATAATTGTAAAATTATAAATACGCTGCTTGATTTAAGCTTAAATTATAAATACTGTATATGTATATCCATAACAAACTAAATATTAAATAATATATATAAATAATAATAAAATTTCTATAAAATTTATGTACATATCACAAATCACTCCCTAAATACGCATAAAATTTTTGAGCAAACATTTCAAGATGACGAGCAGAAAGAGGTAATGAGTTTGAATAATCGACCGGTCTGGATGTAGATTTTCCTTTATGTTGTTCTCTTTGTTTCTTTCTCAGCCATCTGAAATGCAAAAATTTTAAGTTATAAAATTTAGTATTGGATAAATATATATAAATATATTTTTAGAAGATAAAAATTACTTTTTAAATGCTTTATTGGCATCCAATTTTTTACGATTATCTTGCGAGGTTTCCTCTTTTTGTAGCTGATTGATTATTTTGTCTACGTACAGTTGCTCCTCTTTCTTTTCCAACCACATTCGAAAAGCTTCGTCCGCCTCTTTGCTGTTTCTCTTTGGTTCCGACTAATAAAATCTTAATTGAATTAAAATTTTAATAATAATACTGGGAGATCAAACGAAGAGTTTACTTGCCAACAGTAAACTTGGCAATGCCGTGCTTGTTACTACCTTGCTAAGTATCACTTAAATACTTAAATCTTGAACACTTTATGCAGTCAAGGAGCGTCATGTAAAATTTGAAATAAATGAATTAGTTGAACATGATGAGTCAGTTAGGTAGTCCCAATTACTGGAATTGCCCAGTTTACTTCCAAGTAAACTTTTCATTTGATCACACTGTATATTTATGTAGGAAAGTAAAAAATATATTTAAAATGATAAGAAACATCAAACAAGTTTGAATTTGTCCATCTATGTTCCTGCATTCTGTCTGTCTATTTTTCAACACAATCATCTTTGTACAAAGGCAATAGTCATCATGAAATTGAATGGTAGAAAGAGGACTTGTTAGATATCTTCCTGAAACTAGAAGTATATGCATCAAAAGTGCTAATTCATTTTGAGGACTACACGAAAGACTGACAATGTCAGGATAAGAATTTCAAATATTCATGCAATCCAGTGTTATAGGCAGCATGCTGCCAGCATTATTGTCCAATGCCAACAATCCCTTTTTCAATAAACCAGCTGTCTTGTGAAGAGACCCAACTTTTCAGTCTGATGAAGGGAGTAAATGTCAGGTTCATTTCAGTATGCATCAAATAGCATATTGATGAACTATGATATTCTAAAATATGTTCCAATATTCATTGGAGTTCATTGGTGCAATTACTGATGCACATTGCACTCGGGCTGCGGATATGGTGAGCTCTAATGAAGTAATGTGGCTTCCTCCATGGTTATATTATCAACAGTTTTTACAACTTGTCAGTGTTAACCCAAGCTATTTTGACAAAATATGTTTACAAATGCCAATATAGAACTATTTGCTTCTGCTATCTTGTAAGGTTGCTGGATGTTCTAGTAAAAGCTTATTAAGTCATTCACCAGTTCATTGGTTGTGTCGAGACTAAATGCATACTGTAATATATCCATTGGTTATATATACAAGATGCATCTTTGAATCCCTAATCTAATGCATTGATAAATGACCTCAGTAGATGAGATTACTATGTTGAAAAACAGACAGATCTACATCTGGTTTACATTTTCATACTGCAATTTGCTCACATTCAAAATATAAAAGTAAATATTCTTAATTTCATATTAAACTTACTTTCTCATCACTGACTTTATTCTTTTCTGTACTTTTGGTCTGGTTTGCTGCTTTCTTCCTCATAAGCCAAGCTTCATAAGCTTGTTCGGATTCTCTTTTTCTTTGCAACTTATCTTGTTCAATTTCCATTTCTTTCATTTTCTTTTGTAAAGCCTTTTCTTTATTTCGATGTCTCAATTCTTCTAATTCTTCTTGAGAAAGCCCGTATTGTGATCTTGGATTACCCTTGTAATTTGGTAATTTTTTTGAAGCTTGTTCTCCAGCCTGTTTGGATTTTGAAGATGACACTTTTGTTTTCGAGTGCTTCGGCGATGATTTAGGTAGTGCCGAATTGGATTCTTTAAAATTCTTGAATAAAGATGTAGAATTTGTAGGAGGTTCATATCTTTTCAGATTTAAAATTTCTTCCATTGATTTGGAATGTTTACTTTGAGCATTATTAGGACAACATTTTATATCTTTTTTTAAAGCCAACATAGCATCAGAAACAGAAATTTTACTTTCAGGAGCTTCTAAAACCTCTACTTTTTGCTCTTCAACCGGTTTATTATGCAATAAAGTTGAATTATCCTCAACTTCAAAATCATTTTCTTTGATTTCCTCAATTAAATCTTCATGCTTATCACATTGCATGTAATCATCCGAATTTTCTGATTTTAAATTATCATTTTTAGATTCAGAAATATCATTTTCATCATCATCATCATCATCATACTTGATTTCTTCATTTTCTATTTCTTCTGTTTTGAAATCACATCTTTCTTCTACATTTGGAGTACATTGTATAACCTCTTCCATTTCCAATTCCTTCTCTTCCTGATGATCATCATTGTTATTATGTATCTCATATGATTGAAGTTCATTAGTTTCAACATCATTATTACATAATAATAAATCGTCTGTATCAATTAATTCTCCTTTTTTGCATTGCAAATCAATCTGATCCTTATCATCATTTAATTGAAGTTCTTCTTCTTCATTTAACTCATGCCTTTTACTCTCACTTTCGGCTTGTTTTTCATTCTCGTCTTTAACTTGAGGATCACCATTTTCAATTATATTTTCTTCACTTAATTGAGACTCTACATTTTCAACTACATTTTCATCATTTAATTGAGAGTCTTTACTTTCAGTTTCATTATCTGATTCAAAATTATTATTTTCGTAATCATCGATGTTATTGTTTGATTCGAGTTCATTAGCCTTCTGAACTGTTTCTTGAACTACAGTATCATCAGAATTATCCTCTAAATTTGACTCATTATCTTCACTTATATCTTCCAACTTTGAATTTTCACAAAGTAATGGCACAAATTCATTATCAAAACCGTATACATCATCCTCAAAATGTTCGGATGATGGTATTTGTGATGCTGTTTGAATTTCTTCTAAGCTTTTCTCATTTATATCTTCATCCTCTGAAAAGTCAGGACTAACCGGAGGAGTGCACGATACAACATCGACAAGTCTTTCACGAAAGGTCACGTGACGAACTCGATCAGATTCAATTGGTGTTTCATCAGCTTGAAATTGAATATTTGCATCTATTAGTTTTGCTCTTATTTTATCTTGAAGTTGATCTGAAAAGATCAAAAAATGAAATAAACAAACAACCATTTAATATGACCAAATACATTTATCTATCTTAAAGCATTCTTTAAAAACTAAATAATACATACTGTACATGCATGAAGTAGATGTAGTTGATCTAAGTTTAAAAAGATATTTAAATATACTGACTATTAATGATGTTTGTAATTATAATTTATATTTTAAAAAATCAACTGTGAAATTAATTGTTTAATAAATTATTACTATAGATCTACAGTTTGAAAATTGCAGCTAGGCACTGTGACAATGAGCCATATGAATAAAAACAAGCATTACCTTATTCTTGTAAAATATGAAGGAAATTCTTTTAGCAGTATGAATAAAAATAGAAGCAAAACCTTATACTTATGAGCATGAAGCAAAAGCTTTTGAATGAAGGTTTTGCTTTATTAATTAATAAGTATTCTGTATAAATAAAAGCAAGCATTTACTTTGAATCATAAGCATATCTTTCAAAATACATGCATCTAGTCAGATGTAGACTGAACTGAGAGAAGTATGGTTTGTTGTTGTTTTTATCTAGGTTTATTTTCTGTTAATGTTTAACCATGGCCGAAATAGTTAATCTAAGGAAGGTTAAATATTATAAACTTCGTTCCTCTCCAACAAGTCGGTGATTTCAAGGTGTTATTTAGATTTGAAGAAAGTGTTGAATGGTTGGCACATAATTTTTTACGAGCGATGACTGAATAATGCAGTGGTACACCAACTTCTTTACAAAAAAAAAATACGTTTAAGATATTTAGCTGATCCTAGATTCCAAAAATGCATAGGAGAAAAACTTGGTGTAGAGCAGTTCTCCACAACATTGTCACAAACTGTGAGCAATGTTGTGGAGAAATCAATAGCTCCGGCTAATCGTTGGATAAAATTTCCTACAACAAATCATTCTGTCATGGAAGCAAAACAGTTACGGCAAAATAAATACAGTACTGCTTTCCAACTGAAATTGGTGTGATTGACTGCACTCACACACATAAGAATAGAAAAACAGACTTCATGATGATGAGTAAATTAATTGAAAAGGAAAACCTACATATATATATATCAATGTCCTGAAGCCCAACGTATTGATACTAAACAAAATTATCACCATAATTAATTGGGTTAATATTATGCTATAATTATTAATTAGAAATTAAATAATTTGGTACTAGAGGTAGACGTTAGGCACCATCTCTTATCTAAATTAATAATTTTCGTAATTTAATAATTTATTAAATAATTTAGAACATTCTGTAAGAAAAGAACTAGCCTGAAGTGGGACTTAAACCCTCAACTTCCTCTTACCATGCAGTGCACTTGCCAGTTATGCCATCTGGACCCCAAGCAAGTCTTCACTTCCAGATGTATTTATATTTAGATATAACTATTCACGGTTACTTACAGTGCCAACTGACAAGTGCACCACACAGTAAACAAAGGTTAAGGGTTCAAGTCTCACTCTGGACTAGTTCTTTTCTTCCAGAATGTTATAATAATTTATTAAATAATTTAGAATTATTAATTTTGATAAGAGATGGCACCTAATGTCTACCTCTAGTACCAAATTACTTAGTTTCTAATTATTAAGGAGCAATTATTTATTGTGACATCATCACAATGCTGGGCTGCAATTTTTAATCATATTTTTAATTTATTTCATTTAAAATATATGCTCTTCATCTTAAATTACTACTGTAGTGTCTTGCCCCTGTACATCATACTTTGCCTTTAATAATAGAGACGTGTGAGTCATCTATTAACTGCTTTCAAGGAAAAAGTTTTGAATTGAAATAACATGACTTCCAGTTTGCATTGGAAGTTTGTATGTAATTAATTGGGGCTTCCTGTCCCTAAGTTTTCCATATCTGGTCTCGCCTTTTATCTATCTAACTCCATTCTCGAGATTACAGAACGACTAATGGATGGATGATATTGGGAATTTATAGGTCTACAATTTTTTCAAATTGCAGCCCAATTATAGCAAAATATTAGCCCAATTAATTACGACAATCATTTGGCTTAGGAAAACCTACATTAAACGTACAAGCTACTTATGATTCCAGATCTATGTTTACTAGTGTTGATGTTTGTTGGATATCTACACTAATTAACAAAGGCAAACACATATGATTAATATGAATTGAATACAGCTAATAAAATAGAACATAGAGACGAGAATTAATGTGTCATAACCTGCACGTTGAGAACCTTTTACTTGTTTACCAAAAGCATTTGCTTGGAGGTTATAACGTAATCATTTTCATACCAAACAGAGGAAATGCTTTTGCTTCTACCTTTTGCTCAAAGCATTTGCTTTTACCTCTACCTTATGCTTATTAGCATTTCCTTCTTTTTTATTCATACTGGCCATTGTCATAACAAACAATTGCTCAATAGTAAAGTATTTTCTTGCATATAACTTACAGTGGTGTGTAATCTGCAAAAAACTGCTAGAACAAAAAATGAAACCTTTGTGTAATTCACCTCACTGTATACACTGCACTTCTTGAGAAATGACTGAAAGTTCATGATTGCAGTTTAAAATCAGCATATAATTTCCATTCCATAACCTGAACCCCATTTCAAATTGACTTTTTAACACAGATAACCTGCAGGTTATACACACAAAAATACAGTAGTTACTTATTACAAACTGTAATTATAATATCTGTATTACCATAATGCCATTAAATAGGTAACATAATGTCTGGTCACAGTATTTCTATGCTCTTCTGCATGTATAATAACCTTTCCTTTTAATACTTCATTACAATATCTTTAAATGCACCGGTTAAGTGTTAACAAGTTTAAATTAAATGCTAATTACTAGCAAAACTTATTTAAACTAATGAGTATAGTTAAAAAGTCTATTATTGGTTCATAAAACATCGTGTAGACCACTCATGATGACTTTCGATTGTCATTTTGGACATATCCTCAGAAACAATAAAGCCTGTATCTATCTTTGTTGTGTGTTCCTATATGATTCATTCTCTGGAGCAATTTTATGCTTATTCCTAACAATTGAAATGAGAACAAGAAGCAATCAAGTACAAGATTTTGCTGAGAAACAGATCCATTATTAAAATGGGTTTTGGCTATCTCTAAAACAGACTAAATTGAACATATTCGTCATAGGTCTGTTAATTTCTTGATTTACATCTTTTCAACTCTCATTTCATATTCTGTCAAATCAAAAAAAAACCTATTTGCTACACTTCCTTCCTTCCTTAATTCAGAATTTTCAAATAATACAAATGCTTTGCTTGAGAGTGTAAGGAAATTTAGCTGATCACTCAATCAGCTAAAACCAGTTTGGGGAGAACACTACTATCTTGAACAATTGTAAGTTTTCCATTTTAAATTCTCTCAGATAGGCATTGACTTATCTCTCTGCCATTTATGAGGACATCCTCTAACTCGTAAGATTGCTCCTACCGTGTTTCCCCGAAAATAAGACATCCGCAGAAAATAAGACCTAGCACAGATTTTGCTGAATTGCAAAATATAAGACCTCCCCCTGAAAGTAAGACCTAGCGAAGTTTTTCTTCAGTCGTAACGATCATCGACAGATGGTTGAAATTGGCCGTTGGCTTTTTGAAAGTACAGCCACTGATTGGTCAGCAGACAATTACGCTACACGGCATGATTTGCATAAGACTATGGCTTCAGAATCACAGATTTGCACAACATTACGGCTGGTGATGGCTAATTGGTCGGCCGGGAATCACGCCACATGACATTTGCATAGTGCTGCGGTTCAGTAAGCACTAATTGGTCATCGAGTCCGATGTTGACGCTATAAAAAGGCGACAGGTCGACACACCGGATATACGTCAATCTCGTCTAAGTTCGACTTGGAAATTTTTTTGTTCAATAATAAATGTGAATTCTTCTTCCTGGAAAAAATAAGACATTCCCTGAAAATAAGACCTAGCGCATTTTTCAGAGCAAAAATTAATACAAGACACTGTCTTATTTTCGGGGAAACACGGTAGTTGGTTATACTTTCAAATTCTTCTTTTCTGATTATCCTCAGCTACATATACAATGTGGCCTAACTATGTTATTTTGTTACATCTTACAATTCCTGTAAGCTATCATTTCTTTGCCTTTGTCAAAATAATTAAATTTAATTATATATTTTTCAATTTATTTGTAATAATTATTTATTTTTAGATAATACAAACACAATTTACATCAAATAAATTCACTATTTATCACACCGGAACTACTAAAAAATTTACACACCTGAAAAGAACCCAGAAGGGGTTCGAAAACGTTTGTTTACCGATTTTTTGCGTGATCACACCGTAAATGGTTCAGGTGTGTAAATTTTTTACAATTTACATCATCAAGATAAGCAATATTAGACTATTTTATGCAAGTTTAAACCTAGGGATAGAATTTGAAGAAGAAAATATATACCTCTGGATGATAAAAGTAGAATTTTGTATGAGTACTAGCTGCAATTTTTTTCATCGCATTATATGAATTTGCATTATAGGGGAGCATATTATATGGGAGTTCACTATATATCATGATTTCAACATCAACATCATATAAATCATATTTTTTAATATATTATATATATATATATATATGAATTATAGCAACCAAATTACTAAAGAAATAGTATTCAGAATACTGCAATATTTTTGTTATTTAAGTAAATTTCTTGTTTATTTAACTAGATAACTATTAGCACAGTTAAAAATCCTAATTAAATTATTTAGGAGTTATCTTGATGAACACAAAGTAAATGATATTACAAATATTATTTCATATGATTGTAAGAAATATGTATAAATGAAATTGTTTCTTCAGTTAAGTCGATAAAATATAACATTTTTAACAATTTCTTCATCATCTTATTGACTTTCACAAAGTACCAATTCAGCTGCTGTATTCTGATGAGGTGTTAAACAAAACTAATAAAATTCACAAAAGAAAATATTAGTTTACGTCACAAAGAAAATGACATCTAGCAATATCGATGTTACATTCACTCAAATGTATAAATTGTGGATTAAAAGCCAAATGACACAAATAACTGCCCATGTGAAGCAATCTGATAAAAATATTTAGGATAAGACTGCACTATTAAGAATAATGATTACATCATTCTCATTTAACTCATTCAAATTTATAAATGTATTCTCAGAACGCTTGTGATGAGGGCACATACCAGTCTATCAGGATCAACATTTGTCAGGCCATAACTCTTATAGCAGCATTGACAGAACACATTTTGGTTAAATGAAAAAAAATGATAAAAATATAACACAGATTTCTGTCAGTGTATAGTTGGTAAATTATATGGTTCCCATATTCTTATAGAAACTATCTAACAATCTCAATTAATTAAAGAAATTAGTCATTTAAATATCTAACAAGGATGAATTAGCCACTGTAGTTTAATCTGATGAGTTAATCAATGAACTTTTAACCATTTTTGACCCATTAACTGGGTCAAAAATGTTATTAACATTCCTTAACTTCATCCGCAGTGCATTGATTAATTCATTTATAATTTTCTGTCGAAAATTTAACATAATGTGCTTAATTATAAAGCGTATAAATATCAAATGTGAAAATAATAATAATTTTACAGCAGACGTAAGTAATTAAATATAATTTGGAAAAAATAATTTGGTATTAACAGTAACTGAGTTGTTAAAGAGATTTCTATTATAAGAAATAGTTATGGCATCAGATTATATTTACAGGTATGACTCAATCAATGATGAAAGAAATGATGATTATTGAGTCATGACATCCAAAACAAAACGATGCATGAGTAACCATACATCTTATGACTCACGAAACTCTTTAATAACATAATAGAGTCTAATTCCACAATACTGATATTAAAAAAAAATATCAACATAACTAGGAAATTAGTCATAATAACATTAAATAATTTATGTCATACAAGTACTTAAAAACAAATAATTTATGTCATAGAAAATGTATAGTACCTAGAATTATATACAGAAATTAGTACAATAATTCACTGAAATCATTTCAAAAATTACATCATAACCAATAACTAAAACCGTCGAGATGGAGGAACCAGGGATTTTCCCCAGGCCCAGAGAAAACTTCAGAACCTGTAGTTAAACTAACCATAATATTTACAATCCAACTAGGAACATACTTCAGAATCAGTAAAAATGGAATCTAAAACTGATTAAACTTTGATTACTTTTTTAAATTTATTTATTTATTGGTCTATAAGTTGGTGGTATTATATTGGCGTATCGATAAAATTGTTCTATTCAAAGACCGATTCTACAGTCAAATATTAAAAATCTCAATTACAGCATTCATTTTTCTCAAATAATTTATCATACTCAGAAATAAGATCCATTTCGCATTAAGTAACCTGCTCACCCGCAAAATCTTCTTCGAAACCGTCGTCTTCCGAGTTAGTAAAGTCGTACAAAGAATCTAAACTCGTATCCATCTCTCGACGTTCGAGCATCAAACTGTCGACGTTCGGCTGTTTAATGATGGATATAGGACTATCAGATTCTACGACGGTCCTGTCAATGTTCTCCTTCATGTTTCCTATCTATTATTCTTTATAATAAGTAAGAAACCACCTGAAATTATATAAAAAAGGACATTATAACTACTGTTGCATCATCATTTACTTGATGTATGTGTGGGAATATCATTACATCAGATAAATGCTTTATGTATAACCATTATTTCATTTATTTACATGTACACATGTACAATTTACCTAAAAATAAATTCTACTTTTAATTACTTATAATTTTATACATCAATTAATTGAATATTATTTAAAAATTATCAAATTTTTGTATTTTAATTGGTAGAAACTAATTTTAAGTGTATTATACATGTGTAGTATAGTAGATACATGTGTTCATACAAATGGATTGAAATTGATTATTTTATATTTAAAAAATCCCTTTTTCAATAAACCA